AATAACTAACCTTCCAGTGGCCAGCTGCCATGCCGTTCGACGGAACCACGAAATCTGATACACTGCCCAAATCTAGACGCCACGGGTAGACTAACACCATGGACCCCTCTGTCAGTAAGTTCATACCTTATCCACTGAGGTATCTCGAGATCCAATGGTCATATGACAATTGGATTCTTATGTCTCTAGCCTACCACGTACTAAAATTGTGCGATTTAAAAAGATGAAAAGGTATACTGCTGCACAAATCGTACACAAATGACATCATCAGTGCGCTGTTGGGGAGTGTAGTGGAGTTTATCGACCAGTCAGGACACAGGATAACAGACCAAACAATGAAACCGCCTCACTGAACAACCAACGATGATCACACGTCAGCCTCGGCTAGCAGCACATAATAATACACACGTAACACTACACAACCACTAACCGATTAATAAACTCCACTATGCTCCTTAAAAACGCACTGATGATGTCACCTCGATTAGTAATGAAACGTTTGTAGTCGATTTTCCTAGCTCCTCTAACGAACCAAAGCCCATCTACACTAACTGAGTTACCACTTTTCTCCTCAACAGCGTTTCTGCGGTTGTGGTAGTCACCAAAATCATAGACTTTACACAATGTTAGGTGCCGTTTGGCATGAATGCCAACTCATCACCCAATTGACATGTACTGATTGCTCCCGCCTTTCTCCAGCACACACCCCACCCAGCATAATGCAGATAAGCGTGGCTGAGTGGAGAATTCCGATGTCCGGTGGTCCCAATAAGAGTCACAATCACTTTTGCGCCCGGCTATCTGTTTTGTGACAAACAAACCGTGCTGTTCATGAGACTGCAGCAATATAATCCTACACGATCGGCTATCAGCATCAAAAAATGGGTTACTTGTGCTTAACTGACAAGCACAACAGGAAGAATCATCATCTAGCGGCCCTGACCAAACCGTTGATTAAACAGCTGCCCATTCCTTAGAATCTGGAGAATACAGGGCCTGGTCTAAACAAACCGTGAGATGCGCCGTGTCACTCTTGAAATCCCATTCTGACAGTTCGTTCGCCAGTGTTGACAGTCTGGCATCACGATATCGAGAAATGTCCCATCACTTCTGGACCTCCACGCCTCCAAGACGTGGAATCCTGTCCTTTGAGACAGTCATCAGCCAGTCCATGATGTACCGGCCAACCGGAAGCAGATCCACCGAGCCAACTACGCCGCCATCCAGATCCTATACCACCAAAGCATGTAGGATGAAGTCTGTTATGCTCACTAGGTCATGGAAAAATCTATACAAAGGTAAATGCAGCTTGCCTCTGGATGCCGAGCAGTATTGGAAAGAGGTGCTCTCTGCTCCGAAACACATGGACAGCCGGCCAAGTGGCATAGTACTACCATCCGACTGGAGTTTGACCAGGCCTATTTCAGGTGAGGTAGTTGGTCGTACGACCCGTTAAATTGGCGATTCATTCACAGGTCTGGACAAGCTCACGCCCAGGTGGCTTTAACAGTTCAATGCCAAAGCCTTCACTGGGTATTTCAACTTACTATTAGAAGCTGGAGGGTTTCCGCCGCATCTGTCGTGCTCGTATTACCCTAGTTTCGAAGATCCCAAGTTCGACTTCACCGGGCTAACTGAGACCGATCTCCTTGTGATCCACTGTGGTCCAATGATACCATAAGGCACTTGCTGATCACTGGAGCCGTGGACTGAAACTGCCCTCATTCAAGTCTCCATTTCTACTTCGCGACGGGAATTCGGAAGCTAAATCGCTATTATATGCTCTTCTTCGTCACTCTTCAACGACTGCCGCTAACCTCAGCTTGGCGTTTGTTGAGATCTCAAAAGCATTTGATTCGGTTCCGCATGACACAATTGTCAGATCTTTTCGAGATATTTAGAGTTCCGTCACCCATAGTTCGATAAATCACACAGTCCTTCGAGAATCTGTAGAAGTTTTCTCCAATTCCGAAGTTAACTGCCACGCAGATGTGAGGCAGGGGATCCAATATCCCCAATATTGTGCATCATGGCAATCGATCCCCTGTCTTGGCTTGGGAAACCTGGGAGTATCCAAGCCCTCGTGCTTCTTTCTGATAGAATGTCAGTTAGGCACCGAACGAGTGCTACAGCTGGACGGTATATATATATATATATATATATATATATATAT